AGAACATTTCGGGTGCTGGGAAAGTCTCCGGGCTTCAGAGACAGCCCAAGTTAGTCAGCTTGCCATCACTGTAATGATATCCAAGATAAAGCAATTAACAGTTTATTAGTTCTTTGGGAGTTTTGATCATAGTCACTCCTCTCCCCCAACTCTTCCCAGGTCCACCCCCCCCATCTGCTCAACTTTGTATTCTCTTTTTTTCTACATCCATTACTTCCATTTTGTGCTGCTCATGTATTCTTGGATGTGTAGACGCCCACTGGAGCATGGCTGACTTACCAAGGGCAGCACTCCTAAAGAAAACTGATTTTCCCTTTTCCAGCAGCTATCTATCCCAAACGGTTCCTTGGCTGAAGTGGGACTCCACCTCTGTCTCCCTTCTCCATCGGTTTGGTCTGGTTAGGCTTATACACTGTCACAATCTCTCTGAGAACGTATGTGTTCATTTCCACACTGCCTCCAGAGGACGCCATTTCCTTGTATTCATCCACTGCTTCTGGCTCTTAAAATCTCTCTGCCCCTTCCCCTGCAATGATTCCGAAAACCGTGAGAGGAAGGGGTGTGATATAGATGTCCCATTCAGGGCCAAGCATTCTGCAGTCTCTTATTCTCTTCACCGTAGGCAGTTATGGGTTTCTGTGTTAATAACCATGCAGTACAAATGGAAGCGTCTCTGATGAGGGCAAAGACACACATTAATGTATGGGTATAATTATAAGTCATTAGAAGCCCATTTAAGTCTGTATCTACTTATCAGAATCATAGGAGTAGATAGTTCCACAGGACCCATGACCGGCGTAGCCACAGGTTCTTGGCCTGGTGATAGCACCAGGTACAGGTTTCACCTTGTGGAACAGACCATAACTCCAATCAGAATGCAGTTATAGAATGCGGTTGGTTACTCACAAGATGTCCATGCCACTATTGCACCAGTGGGCATGTCTGGTCAGGACAGATGTTACTGTGGCTCACAGGGTTTGTGGTTGGGTAGATTGATGACCACTTTTCTTGTAGTGCATGGCATTTTTCTGAACCATGAAAGCTGGCTAGTAGGGATGAGTCTTCTAGGTCAGAGACAGCTTGACATCTCCATGTCCTGTGTCTCAAGTACACGGTGTCTTCAGCAATAGAGGAATAACATCAAGTTCTGGAGGGTAACATTGGCAATAGTTTATAATGCTCAAGGGTTTATGGGACTTCAGTGGCCAAGAACTGTGGAAGAGATAATCCATTCCTGACACCGGACTTTTAATTCTTTGTAGCCAGTAGTGTCTAGTAGGGGCATTGGTATCCTGTTAGGGTGATAACTCCATCTTAACTCTTTTTGTATATTTGTACATATACAATCAATGCAAATTTTAGAAGAGGAAGCTATTTGGGATTATGGTTTTGGAAGCTTCAGTCTTGGAAGGATTAGTTCTGTTGTTGTGGGGCTGTGTTGAGGTAATACATCACAGTGGGGAATCTGTATTGGAGCCAAGCTACTCACCTTATGGCTAAGACTCAGGAGAGAGAAAGGAAGTATCTGGCACCCTCTATTCATGTCCAGAGCATACCCTACCAAAGTATGACTCATATCAAATCTGACTGAACACTGATTTCTCTGCAATGTTGTTCAGAAGTAGGTACCAGTAACAGTAACATATCCAGCTTTGCCAGCTCCTTCATGCATATTGACTGAATGACTCAGTGGATTCTTACTGTCAGTTTTGAAGCTCCAGGTAAGATCAGATGTTTTTGAGTCCTACTATGGGAGTGCAAGCAATATGGGAAGAGGTAAAATGCAATGAAATCGCATGCACACCAGTGCAAAGCAGACCCTTTACCCTGGGTCCCCGTGTAGCAAAGCCACCTCTAGTTTCCATGCAAAGCTCACCTCCCCTGCCTGGCTTGTAATGTCCACATATTATTTTCCTCTCCAATAGGAGACCAAGTCTGTCATTTATCTGCTGCTCTCAAAGAAGGCCCAATGCTGCAGACCTCTTGTTGATGCTGTAACTTTCTCAAGGAGGCTCCAAACGGATTCCACAAAGTCCAAGTGTAGATAGATGCTGCACGCCCACTCTGGCCATCCCCAGTACTGACTGAATCTACACCGTTCCTCCACAGCCTCATCTTTCCCCTCCGTCTTCTTGCCTTTCTGTGCTTCTGTCATTTTTAGAGGCTAACCTCCCCTCTACTTTTACCTTCCTGGTGACTATCACTCTCCCAGCCATGTCCATTGGCCTTTGTCAATTACTGGGATATCTGGAGCAAACTTATGTAAAGAATTCTAAGTTTTTAACCATATATTTTTGAGGGTCTCATTCCTATTTGAGAATATGAAGACAAGAACCCTGTCTGTGGTGATTTGAAGAAGAGACACTCAATTGTCTACGACATTTGAGTACTTGGTTCCCAGTTGGTGGTGTTGCTTGGTGAAACTTTAGAGGAAGTGTGGCAATGGGGTGGAATTTGAGAGTTTAAAGAATCTGGTAGTTTAGTTCTCTCTCTCCCTGTCTCTCTCTGTCTCTTCTGTCTCTCTGTCTCTGTCTCTCCCTGTCTCTCTGTCTCTCTCTGTCTCTCTGTCTCTCT